GGAGAAGGACCTGGCTACGCTTGGAATATCCAATTGGCGCCACGTAGCGAAAAGAAGAAACGACTGGCGCGCTGTTGTTAACTCGGCTATAATCGCGCAAGCGGTGTCTACGCCAATTAAGAAGAAGAGTATGGACTAAAATTTTTCCACTAGATGCTCAATTGTGGATCTGACCGGACGATTATGACCACTATAAATTGGACATAGCGCTCTTAAAGTTGAGGCCACTGACTCCGAATTTCGGTAGTACATTTTAGCAATTTTGAGTGTTTGTTGGATCATACATCTTTCCACGATGAAATGGCACACCTTACTGAACAGAAATGTCAAAACAGAAGGAAAAAATATGGTGTCGTTTGCTGCTCCGATCGGTCTATTTTTGTAGCGTCCCTATTGAAAAACCCCGTTATTAGTTAATGATCGAAAATAACCGGTTTATCGTTGTTATGTATTTCAAGTATGCAAATAATTTTTTTTTATAATTATAATTTAAATATTGCTACTGCACAGCCAACGAATTTCAGTCAATTCGAATGTGTTTTGGTTGGAGTCACCAAGTTTAAATTTTCTTATTTCTTTAATATATAAAAATATTTAGTAATTTACATAACATCACATTATAATTATTTATGAATATCTGTATTTTTACAAAATTCATAAAGCGGGACGAAAGCATTACGCGAAAACAAAGCAAGTGCAATCAATTACATACTCTAATGACTTTAAATTGGGCATTACACAGTTAAGTTTAAATATTGAATACAACAAATACAAAGACAAAATTATGGCGCATCGATTTACAATACAGTCGCCAACAAAGTTGCATGTCATCACATCAGTTATAGTTGCTGCAGAAACCAAAAATAGTAAAGCGCGTAAAAGCAAACGCAGTAGCGACAGCAGTCAAGTCGCACATACAGAAGCATTCACATACACACGTGCATTGTGTATGTAAATTTATATGAAGTCAAGAAATTAACAATGGCAACGCCAGCGTGCGGCGAATAATAATATCGAACCGCGCGCGGTTTTATTCAACCACAATTTGTTGCAAGTCAGCATGCTTCTGAACGGTAGCAAAAAAAAAAACAAAAAACAAACAAAAATTAAAAACGCCAACTAATACAATACACATTTGGAAATCAATACGTAATTGAAAACCGAAATCATAATCAGAATGAAACAAAGTAGACGAGCAAAACAATTACGGTGCAGCGAATGTCGAATGTCTGCAGGTTCCTATGTATGTATGTACAATATTAGTAAATATGCTTGAATGTACCGCTATGCTTATTTATATGGAAAATATTTGCATTTTTCATGCTTACGGCATTCGCATGCGAAATTTCTTTTCATCGATTTTTCTAAATACTTCAAAAAAGAAAAAACATTTTACTTTTTATTTTCAGTCTGACACTTCGTACGTGTTATGTTAGTTGCGAAGACAAGAATCTTGAGAATGGGGTTTTCAACACAATGTGTGTGCCACTTCGCTGCTGTGGGAGGAGCTTGATGAATTGACGAGTTTTGTTCATGCGCCATTAAAGGCAGCGTTCATAAACAAGCATAAATCAAATTCGACACAAAGGCAGCGTGCTGATGGGCAATGAGTCTTTGGCAATCTATTACATGTGTGAACAAACAAAAAGTGGGTATGTTTGCACAGTGGGGCGAAAAAGGTGGCGGAAGTAAACAAATGATTTTTATATAATTAAAACTATTTTTTAATTAGGTAAGAAGTTTTTCTTTACAACAGAATGGCATTTAAGCATTTTAAAATCTGAGAATTGAAGTGGTGCATCTGAAGCAGCAAAATCGAAAAAATAAGTTGAAAATACAAAAAAACAAAAATGTTTTTATCAAATAAATTTAAAGATTACATAAGAAAATGTTCCTTACCATTTATTTATTTCATAAATTTACAAAATTTTTTGTTAATATTAGAGTCTATTCATAATGTATTATTTTTCTGGAGCATGCTTTTACGCCAAAGAAATCTCAAATGTGTGTGAAGTCGGTCTATGAATTTAGCAGCTCTCAAGTGTACTATAATATATTTTCAATGTTTTCGTTATTAAAGCGGTGATTTTGAAGTCCCTTTGCAAGATTTCTCGAGAACTACTCAACCGGTCTTCGTGAAATTTTACACAGATCTTTTAGATGCAATTCTTAAAGACTTAGATGAGAGATTTTTTTCGATTACAATAATAATTACATGCGAAATAAAATGTCGCGAAATTTTCACTGTAATTTTCATTTTTGATGTTAGAATGTGTGTAAAAACGATTTTTATGTTCCTCCTTTCCAAGTTCTAAGGTAAGGTTTCAAAACACGTATTTTTTCGCTTTAGATGATCTTATAAGAAGGTATCCTGCCAACGTGGGTGTACCTTTTTTCCGAGGGGTCACCGGAAATAGCGTCGCAATGACCGATTTTAAAATATTTTTTCAAAAATTTCAGAATTTCTTTGTTAATAGTTTATGATTATAGCAACAAAAAATTCTAATAAAATGTTTAATTTTTTATTTGTGAAAAAAAATTATTGAAGAGAGGCTTATTTTACCCAAGGAAACCCATGTAACCCCTTAATATAACGATTTACAACACCTTTGATCCTTGCAAGTTGCGAGAGTATAAAATATTCGGTCACATCCGAACTTAGTTTTCCTTATTTATTTTTATTCCGTAATATATTATGTATATTTAATTATATAATACATATATGTACATACATATTTAGTTAAAAAGCTAAAACTATTTTAGCAACTCCTTTACTGGCCCCAGAAAGCGCTGTACCAGGTAAATACTTGTGATTTGAAGCTGAATTTATACTTAAAAGAATATAATCTACACTAGATGTACCAATAATTTGTAAAATAATTCATCAAGCCTACCACTTGGTTTCACTGTTGGATTGTAATAGATTTTCTCTCCCTTGAGTTGAGCGCACATAGAGGTGTGTTAAACATTTCCAGTTTCATTCGCACATCGCTTGCTTGCCCGTTTCCACCACCGAGTCACTCTTATTGCCGCGTCATGGTGGTGGAAAAAAATGGCGTACATATACAATGCCAACAACAGCAATGTGAACAATAGCACAGCTATGGCTTCTCCTGTGCGGACAGTTACATATGTGTGGGCAGAACCATAGCGTTTAATTCGACTCGCTCACACCGCTACCCTTGAATGTTTGTGAGTGTGTTTTTGTGTGTGAAAACCAGAAAATCGGGTTTTACGGCAAAATTTTAATGTGCGTCGAACGAAGTCGGACTGCTGTAGACACAGATACTGTTGGACAGCAACGAATGAGCCCAAACGGCTGACTGAATGACGGACAAGGGGAACAGGTTCGCTGGTCGTCGAGTCGCTGCGAGTCATACACAACAAAAGAACGGCTCGTCATGAACAGACCGAACGGAACGTAGGAATCGGACCGTACGCGTATTTGAAAGCGGGCTTTTAAGTTTGGTCGCCAACCGCGACTCTTCAATTATATTTGGTTTATTTAACAAAAATTGAAAATTGCTCTTGAGTGCGAGTTGTATATCGCCTACGCGCCTAAAAACGAATTACTTGAAAACGATTTCATAGCAAAAATATACTAAATGTAATTACGAATATATGAATAAACATTTCCGTGCGCGGTAGAAATTATAAAGTGAATCGTGGAAAAGTGAAAAAAGTGTGTGAGAAGAAGTAAAATTCTGAATGGAAAAGAATTATGGTGAATTAAATACTCAGTGATAAATTTGTAAAAAAAAAGTATTTTTTAAACCAAAAAAGCTTTGAATGAAGTGAAAAAATATATATTCTTTATAAAAGTTACGCAGAAGTGAATGTCGTCTCGCCAATAAGAAAAAATAGGTCCTTTATTAAAGTCTCAGGCAAATTAAAAATAAAAAAAAAAACATAAAAATTATTGTGTCGCCCCCTGTGTCACTATGAGCTCATTTCTAATGGGTTATCCACACGCGCCACATCACGTTCAAAGCCCGATGGGTATGGGTAATGGCTTAGATCCGAAATTTCCTCCCGTTGCCGATGACTATCATCACTATAATGGCCACTACTCTATGACGGCAACGACGGGACATATGTCGGGTATGGGTGCAACCATGGGCGGTGGCATGCCACCTAGTATGCCGACGCATCCGCATGCCACGCACACTGCTGACATGGTCAATGATTACATGGCAGCTGCTGTCCACCATTCTGCCGCTAATCATCATCCGCCGCACCCGCATGCTCATACAAATAGCGCGCTCTCAGGTCACCATCATAATAACGGTTATACGAATTATGCGCCAACACCCACTCATCATCACCACCAAAGTCTCGGCTACTATGGTCATCATGCGGCTGCGATGCATACTGGTCCGCCGGAATTCATATCGGCTGGAGCGGTGCACTCAGAACCTATTACACCGTTGGGGAATGGTGTTTATCCACCGCCGGTAAATACGCCGAACGGTATAAGCGCTTCACTCACCTCAAATGGATATTATAATGGTTATTATGGTACAAATGGCAGTGTCGGCAGTGCTCATTCGCAAGGTCATTCGCCACACTCGCAAATGATGGACATGCCCCTGCAATGCTCTTCGACGGAACCGCCGTCCAACACGGCACTGGGACTGCAGGAACTAGGTAAGCACATTTGATAGACAAGTTTTGTTTCTCAATGTGGAGAAAAATATAGTTAAATGAGATGAAGAGCGTATGTAGTAGTAAAAAATTGAAAGCAAAGTTGTTTATAAAGATTCTTCAAGTGTCTGGCAGTTTTTAATAGAATCAATATAGGCAACAAGAGAAATCTATATTTTGAGCCATTTTCAGTGCGATAATGGGTGGTATGCGGAGCAAAGAAATTTAATTATGTACGAGCTGACGAGCGTTGAAGCAATTTCTAATTTTATATTTGAAGGCATCTTCAAAGATTATTTGTATTTGCCTACTTGTCTCGACAAGCCAACAAAAGAAAGTTTACAATATTTACATGGTGTTTCTTCTCAATAAGTCTTTGCTATATGGCGGTGTGGTTTCGTAATTTTGCCAAACTATCAAACAAGTTTTTAAGATGATTTCAACTTTGGCTCTATCTTAATGAAGATATCTCTGAGAATATTCTTCCAAAATTTAAAGTTTATCCCGTGAGTGGTTTTGGAGATATGGAAATATATGATATCAGCATAAATTCGTGACCTTATTGTTATCTGATCCCAAAAATTTTAAACGAGATTCGCTGTTGCGGACTTTCTTTTTAAAATGGCTTGACCGATCAACTTGAACCATTCAAGCAATCTTCTACAAATATTTGTGAAGTTCGAAGAAATACGTTTTTTGATATTCAAACAATCTTCTTGATATATTTGGGAAGATATTTCCTGGATCTATATAATATTTTAGATTTTTTAAGCAACTCCTCAGTGATAATTTTTTCACAAAAAAAAAAAACTTTTTTTGAGAAAACGCCATTTCGTCAAAAATCATAATTCTGATTAGTCATTCAATTATTACTTGTGATGACCTTTTAATAATAAAATTTTTTCTTTTTGGATTTGAGTTAATTGACTTTTGTTTTAGAGATTTAGTTAAAACCTTAACTTAGAACTTGCACGACGGAAAAAAAACTGAAAATGAAAAGTGAAAACTTCGCGAAAATTTTTCTTCAAATAGTTGTAATCGATAAAAAAAAAATCCTTCTTCAAAGTCTTTAAGAATTATATCTCAAAGAAATGTGAAAAACTAAATGAAGATCGGTTGAGTAATTCTCGAGAAATCTACCCAACCAACTTCAAAAACACAGTTTCGAGAAAAACGCGGTTAAAGACGACGCACTTAGCCTAGCTAGCCTCGAGCGCACAAATTCACAAGGTTGTATCCTCGAAACTATTTCTCGGATCATGTTGAAAATTTAGGACAATATTCTAGAAGTTTTGTAGAATTTAATAAGATAATAAAAAAAATGGATTTCTTGAAACCCGTAAAGCCATGTAACCCTATACGTTTGTTTATGCTTCTCTGATCTATGTAATGTAAATCATAAACTTTAACTTTCAGTCTAAGATATTGAGACAATTTCCTCCAGAAGTTCTCACATAAGAGAATACCCTTTCTCCAAATTAAAAAAAAAAACTAAATTGATTGTAAGGCGTGATCCCATAAAGATATAATTTTATTTTTTTAAAGGAAATATAATTGACTTAATTTTGAAAGTTCATAATTGTTATAAGAAATTAATTGTTAAGGTTTCTTTAAACTTAATTCAAATAATGGTATTAAATGGATAATCAGGAATACGCTTCTTAAAATCATGATATTTTTTGCATTGCGTGAGTCATTCGATTTTGGCCAGTTCTTCAATCTCATACTAAAGTTTAAGATCTTTCTTTATTCTCTATTGGCGTAGCCAACTCACACATAGTTATAGCAAAAAGGACACTATAGTCTCGAAAGAGAGAATATCTTAAATATATATTTTTTCTAATTGCTGTACAAAGCATAAATATAATGAATAAAAATAAATATAATAATAAAATGAATTTGACGACTAATAGTGTTTTCTTAAAGGTCTCAAATTGGAAAAGCGCATCGAGGAAGCAGCACCCGCCGGACAACAACTACAGGAATTGGGCATGCGGTTACGCTGTGATGATACTGGGTCGGAAAATGTTAGTATTTAAAACAAAGTTGCATTAAATTTTCTTGATTGAAATGATTAATTGTTGTCAATTCGAATTATTTTAAGGATGATATGTTGGATGAGGATCGTCTTATGTTAGACAGATCGCCTGACGAGTTGGGTTCAAATGGAAATGATGATGATTTGGGCGATTCGGATACAGACGATGATCTAATGGGCGAAACAACAGATGGCGAAAGAATCATATATCCATGGATGAAGAAAATACATGTGGCGGGCGTTGGTGAGTGCTTAAAAAACTACTTTCAATGCAACCGAATAGTTCCTCTCTATATGTAATGTCTAAAGGGCGCTAAAGAAAAAATTAAAACTTCATTAACTAAAAACTAAGTGACAACTTTAGCAGTCATTAATCAAATATATGCACGTTCAAAGTGTTATTAAAATAGATCAAGTGCCGAAAGAGAACTTCAAGCTTCGAAGTATGTGTGTGTAGTACGGTGTCATGAGTGTCTTTCGTCACTTATAATCCAACTACGAGATATTCGTCGCTTAAATGAGATTTCAAACTATAAATAATAATAATAATTGTGTTCCACATAATTACCTGCACTTACCACGCTTGAGTAACAAGAGAGCGAGACTGAGAGTTTCAATATCATTTTATTATGACATGCCGCACTAATTGTTTGTTTAAAATATGGTAAATGACTCCCGTGGGATAGTAATATGCTTAAATGCTGGCCAACATCACACCAAGCCAGGCGACTCTATTAATAATTCAATTAAATGTGTGTATATATATTAAAAAATATTTTTGAGTTGAAGTGTAGCTCATTTTTAACAAAGCGTACAGCGTCAGCGTGGAATGTGGGTTCTTGAACTTGCACTGTGTGTTGGCCGGCTAAGCAGCGAAAGAGTCAAATGCTCAAATGTCAAATGATTCAGATAGTTCTCGGAGTCAGCGCCAGCCGCAGTGCAGAGCGATAATCAGGTTCCTATAAGGCAGCACACATTCCTACACACTATACGAGGTATGCATGTACTATGGACACGAGTCGATGATAAATGTCACAACATTAACATCGAATGACACGGCTCATCCGTCACTCGGTCGGTGTCATCGCCGCTTGTGTGCGATTGTGGCACCGTGCGTTGCATTAGTTCGACAGTAGTTGCCAGCAGTGTTTTTGGCTGCAAAGTTGTTGTATGAAATTGTTGTGCCAGAAGGCATTCAAGTATTTATCTCTTTCAAACGGTTACTGGTTGTTCTCTGGAGGCATTCATCGCTTATTACTTGTTGAACATTCATTTGATATTCATCATCAGCATAATCGACTGCACATTGACATTTCATCTCAGATAGTAGCGAAAGTTTGCTGTGGCAAGGTGTAAAACCGATGCTGTGGGGGCCAAGTGCTTTAAAGTTGCTGTGGTGGGAAAAATAAAATATCAAAATATCGGTAGCTACATTTGAGTTTTATGTTACAAAATCGGGAAATACAATAGTTATTCTACAATTTAATGGTTGTCTACAAAGCGTTCTTTCGAAAAAAAAAATATGAAATTAGTACTTCAATATTTTACTTCAATATGGTATATTTTCTGACCAGCAGTGCTAGCCAAGTTATTAAGTGTTGTAATGCATAATAAAGTAAAAATAATAGCTGAGCACCATGTCAACACATATGCGCCTACAAACTTCCTCTATGCTTATAGCTAGACATGTGACAATAAAAACTGTAATTAAGAACATATTTGAGTTGTGACACTATTCATTCTGTTTTCGGCCTGTGCCTCAAATGTAATTATCAGCTGGCTACTGGAACATGCCACCGTCGACGGAAATAATATATATAATAACATTTATACTTCTTATAGTGTATGTATCTCCATATATTTATGTGTATTCCCCAATGCACATTTTTTGATCATCGGCCTATCTACAAACTAGAAAGCCATTAACGAAATGCGTTGAAGAATTAATTACATTGCGTGTTAAAAGATAAAGAAAGAGTAAAAAGCCCATTTATAGCTTCTTCTTTATATTCCCCGCACAAAGCGTAATATCGGTTAACATATTAACGGCTTCTTTTAACGTATTTGCCTAAGCGATACATTTAACATGCGGAAGAATAGTTTTCAAAGCTTTTTGTGTTGTTATTAATAATAAGAAATTTCTTTAAGTACTAGAATGGTAAAATGCGTTGAAAAATATGACGACATCGATTGACAAGACACGAAAAGACTTCTTTCACTACCCAACTAAGATGGATCCTTTCCAAAAGCTACGTTCAGTTGGTGAATCCAAATATGCTACTTCCTGTTTAATCATTGGTTGATATTTTATACCAAATAAATAAGCCCTGAAATTAGTATCTTGATGATGATATTTTTTTTCTTTCCCAATCACCTCTTTTGTGAGTTTTATGCGATGTAATTTATGCAAAAGAGCCGATTCGTAAGTGATGCTGAAATGCTCTGCTCTCCCTCTGATGCCAACGCGTTGGTTTTCAAGCACTGCTTCCTCAACTTTATGTCAAAAAAAAACGGTAACTACGGCTGCACAGGTGCACTTCTTTTAGTCACTACGTGTTCAGTTTGTATGGAAGCTATACGCTATAGTTAATCGATCTGAATTTTTTTTTCAGAGATTATGTTATTACCTTAAGCACTACTGCGTGTCAAATTTCGTGAAGATACCACGTCAAATGCGAAGTTTTCCATACAGGCCCTTGATTCCTATCATTCAGTCTGTATGGCAGCTATATGCTACAGTTAACCGATCTGAAAAATTTCTTCAGAGATTACATTGTTGCTTTCGAAAATAATCTATATCGAATTTCATGAATATATCTTGTCAAATGTGAAAGTTTTCCATACAAGAACTTGATTCCGATCGTTCAGTTTGTATAGCAGCTATATGTTATAGTGGTCCGATATCGGCAGTTCCGACAAATGAGCAGCTTCTTGAAGAGAAAATGACGTTTGAAAAAATTGAAAACGATATCTTAAAAACTGAGGATCTAGTTCGTATATATGCAGACAGACGGACGGACGGACAAACGGACAGACGGACACTTCCGACGCTTTCTTTTGGGTGTTACAAACTTCGTGACAAACTTAATATACCCTGTTCAGGGTATAATTAGTATAAGAGGAGCAGTTTTTTGTCATGTTATTAAGTGGTATTTATTCAAGATATCCCTTCTATGATACTAAGATAAAGATGATGATTCCATGTTATCTTCATTAACGTAATTGTATGGACCACTCGCATAAGGAAAATTTTTGATGACTTTACTACCTTCACTGAATGCGTTGTGCTACTGAAATATTTTTCTTCATGAAAAATTAGATTTCCAAAATTACTTCTGTAACATTTTCAACGATTTCGTAGGCATGAATCCATTAAAAAATTAATTCCCATGTTTTTTTTCTATGGTAAATTGGGAAACATAAACTAGAGAAGAGCAAAATCACTCGGATATAAGAGAAGGCTATACCAATCTAGGAAACAAAATTTGATCGATTCGGCTTCCGCGCGCAGTTTACATGCAGTCCGAGTCCGAGTCAAATTTGATATTCACAGTATCTCAAAAAACACTGAAGAGATACTACGGAACTTATTGGGAACAAGTTGCTCTATCTCACATAAGTGTAAAAAATACTGAAATTGGATAATAAATAACGATTATATTTAAAATTACAAAAAGTGCGGTAACTCATACGTCAGATGTACCTGTACTAACTTCCTCAGCCTAGATGACTCGGGAACGCTTAGTGGGAGCTATTGACAAAATTGGACACGTAGCATGGTCCACATTTAGAAGAAATCTGTACCTCAGGAATCGAGCAATTTTAAAATTGGCGCAGAGCAATAGTAATAACAATCGGAGTAATGAAATCAAACTTATTCAATGAGCATAAGTACATGGGTAAAAAACAGTGATCTTCAAAATTTTTTTTTTTCATATAAAAAAGGATATATTTTATAAGAATTTTTTATTGTTACAAACATACGCTATTGACAAAGAAATTCTGAAATTTTTGAAAAAAAAAAAATTTAAGCTCGAAAAACAAATGCGCCCGCGTTGGCATAATAACTCCAACATCTACAGTGAAAAAGATACGTGATTTAGCAAAAACCTTAATTTAGAACTTGGACGAGGGCAATAAAACTGAAAATTGGATTTGTAGGTCTGTCACAAAAAGAAAAACTGTTTACAAAAAAAAAAAAAAAAAAAAACAGAAAATTTCGCGATTTTTTTTTAAATAGTTATAATCGAAAAAAGTCATTCGTCCAAGTCTTTATGAATTGTTTCTTAAGGACCTATGTACCATGATGTACAATATCATGAAGATCGGTTGAGAGTTCTCAAGAGATCTTGCCTAACGACTTTAAAATCACAGTTTCGAGAAAAACGCGTTTAAAGATGGCGCACTTTGCATAGCACTGCACTATTTTTCGTAACCCGTAACCCATGTAACCCCTCAAAGAAAAATTTAAGAAAATTATATGAAAAAAATGAAACTAAATTTGGGTAGCAATTTCTTTCAACTCAGCCGTATTATACCTTAAAAATACGTCATGTGTACAAAGGTGGAAAGCCAATTAAATTCAAGTCCGTTTGGTAGCCACAGATAATAGGATTAACTATCACAGCGTTGGTGGGGATCGATTTTTTTTGGAGGTCGGCTGAAAGCTGGGCAACATATATTATATGAAATTCTTATGTAAAATTTTACTTATACTTTAGTGTACCATATGTAAGTAACAAAGTTCATCAGATAAGAAAAACAGTCTGAATATTCATACCTATAATTTTTTTCAAAACTGCTATGAAAAAACGCTCATAAATATAAAAATTATGTGCATTCCTCTGCACAACCGTCCAGTGCAATCTCTATAAAATGACTTAGAGGTATTTTCAATGTGGCGCTAAGAAAAAATCACAAATCACAAATCGCAAAATTACGAAATAACAACAGCCGTAGAAAAAATTCAAAGCACAAGTTCAATATTAGGTTTTAACACGGGCGAATTCAATAAATCTCTGGTCATGCGAGTACACAGCCTTGTAAGCGAGTTTCAATGGCAAATAGGTATTCGCTACAGTACGCGCTACGCCGGCAGCCCCTGATGAGTTTCCCAAATGCGGCGCAGAGACAAGGCGTGCGCGCGCAGTCACTTGATGACTTGCGAAAAATCACATCCACCGCTCCAAGGAGATGCAGGCGGCGCACAGATGCCGCGAATATGTTCAACACAGACGGTTATGA